ACCGTGGGATCATCGGTCCAGTCCGGCAGGCCCATCTAAATTTTTTTTTTTACTAAACTATAAAAGTTATATTCTGCATTAAATTTATTAAAAATAAAGTGTTAAATTACCAATATTTTAATTAATCAAATCATTTTTATTATATTAAACAATAAAAATGCCTAATATTTCAAAAGAATATTAAAATACAAATTTATTGAATTTAATTTAAATCAAATTGTTTTACATATTTAATTAGTTTTTTCTGATATATATAATGCCATAAATATTTGGTTATAAAATAAATTATATTTATCTTCTAAAAAATTAAAAATTCTATTTTTTATCCATGATTCAAGTGCATTATAGATTGAACCATCTTTGGATTCATTCTATTTCGTTTTTTTGTTATTTTATTATTAGCTTTAGAAAAGATTCGTCACTTGCTACAGATGTAGCCTGCTGTGGGAGATAGTCCATTGCTATTTTGGCTATGGATGATTCCCTTCCCATTAATCTAGTATGTTGGATTTAAACGGATATAAAATATCAGATAAATAGCTAATTTCATTTATATCATCTTTCCCAGCTTTCTCTGCTGATATCCCAGTTCCCATGAGCCTATCCCTGGCTACTCTCTTATTTCTATTCTTTTTTTGAATTTAAACCAATATCAATACAAGTAATAAAACCAATAGCAATATTTCGTTAATCTTGGTTCCCAGCCCTAATCATAACTATAAGTATGCTTATTTGATTAAGTTTTTATTCATATATTCGAGCTCCAATATGCATAATTTACTTGTGCTTGAAGAATTGGAAAATATTTGTAGACATATTTTACATGTTTTCTCAGCATTATCTTTTTCAAAATATTTGTATAATTCTTCAACATTATGTAAAGAATTTGTTAGATTTTTTTCATTTACATCAATAGTCATTCTTTCACCCCCTAAAGAGTGTGGTGATTTAATATTTTCATCAACTTATATGATTTCAATTTCAATTTCCATTTCTAAAAATAAAAATTAATATTACCTACCCTACTAAATTAAATTACTTGACGACGAATGAATTGGATTGAATGAAACGGAAGAATATAAAAATTAAAAGATAATGAGATATTATAAAGTGTTAGGCTTTAAATAATCATGTTTTATGTGTTCATGTACATGCACAGTAACTAAAAAGCAATTTATAGTAGAGTAAACTTTTATCTTCTTTAGTATAGTAAACTTTTATCTTCTTTAATCGGTCTTCAGTCTGACCGGACCGGATCATCGGACCGTGTTGTCGAACCGGACCGTCCCGTGGGACCCAAGAGTCTGATGAGATCGCCTTGGACCGGACCATTGCAAACATTAATAATATATCTTCATTTTTTACAAAAATTTTAGTAGACATCACTAAACGCTTCTTTTAATTTAGAAAAAAAAATCGGTCTGGTATGCCGTTAGCTTCATTCATAGAATCAATAGAAATTATTAGTAAAGTGTATAAATATTTTTCTAAAAAGGCGTCCTTGTATAAAATAACATGTTAATCAGTTTTTAATGGTTTTTTAAACCTATTTGATATAATTTATAAGGATTATTCATCTTCTAGGTGGAAATAATAAATAATATAGTTTTTAATCATTAAAGGTAATTCGCCCATTCCATGTCAAATCGACCATAATTCGACTGACCTCTTGTTAAAAATTGATAATATTATTTAAATCGGTAAAAAAACGAGAAAGTCGTTTATTATAGCTTGTTAGGACACCTGGATCCGATTCAGGGCCTCAAAGATGCGAAAAATGGTGATTTCGCCTGTAGAATTTTTAAATTACTTATATCTCAAAAACTATTTAAAGCAAAAATAAAATAAATACATCATTGTAGGCACAAAAATCTATCGGAAAATAAAATGTCGCCAATTTGAGGTTTTACCTTTCGGTTTACATCTTTACGTGTGTATTTAAAGAATTATGGGAGGGTTTTCAAAAAAAATTTTCTGCCTTTTATTTAGACACCTTTTATAAATAATGCCTTCAACGCTAAACAATGGCTGAAATGGGGGTCTTTAAAAGTCGAATAAATTGGGCATTTGGCAAAATGCTCTCCATTTAATTTTGGATATAATTGAGCTAGAAGCGTCATTTAAATTTCTTTATAAAGTCTACTGGTAGGCCTTGTTATATAATGTTAAATTTTGTTTAAAAAATTTACTGTCTTTATAATGCCTGGTAAAAACTATTTTATATCGATAAAGTTTAAAGGAGAAAAGTGCCAATTGCAGAAAAGACTCATTTTATGCAATAATTCCATGATAAAATGACCATCATAGCGCGATTTTCGGATGACTATTTTAAAATAGATGAAATTTGGCATGAAGGTTACTCATAATATTTTTGATCTTAAGTAACATTATATATATCATTCTGTAGCCTTAAAATTCTCTTTAAGAAAATACAAAAATTATTTAAAAAATATCTTCAATGTCGTTGTATTTCCGGTAAAACAAAAAAAAATGTTGAAAATTGCCCCGTTTAAAACAATTAAATTCATGAAATATGTTTATTACTAATATATTTAAAAAGAGAAAATAAGAATTTAATGTATTTATAAAGGGCGCTATTTTTAAAGATAACTTATGTGTTTTATAAATAAACATGCATTTTATATTATAAATAACAATTAATATTTCTCTAAAATTATTGTATACACTAGAAATTATTTAACTAATAATAGTGTTATTTCTATTCCAATACCGAATACAATGACCCAATTACAATTTCGAAATGTAAAATATAATTCATTTGGCAGACAATACTAAAATAGATTACATGATAGATATAAAGTAAGGCCTTATATTAATATATTGAATAATAAATGTCAACAATTCGGCAAACATCATTTATCAATTGATAAACAGATGATACACCGAGGAAGACATTCTTGCAAAATGTTCAATAAAGGAAAACTAATTAGATTCGGAATTTTGGTATTTGGCATTTCCCAATTATGTATTATCATTTGATATATATCAAGGAAAAGCGATAATGAATATGGATTATGGAAATGTAATTATAAAATAATAACGACATTACAAAAACCAAATTATCATAAAATATATTTTGATAATTTTTTTACGTCATTTAAACTTTTGTCATACTTTAAATAACGGGATATTTTACAATTGGAACTGTGAGAAATAATAGAATAAAGCATTGCCCAGCTGGATCATTCCACTGCCAAATATGATCACTGCTTATAATAAATAAGCACATGGGTGGAGTCAAAATGTGTGATAATCTCATATCTACATATAGAATAAAGATAAGAGGGGAAAAATGGTGGTGATCAATATTCACCAATTTTATAGATCTAGATGTTAGCTTACATTTTTTATGCATATTTTATTTGATAAAGTGATTTATTAACAGATATATTAATTTCGAAATAGTGGATTGATTATCTATTACAACATTTTATCACTCGAAAACTTTTAATATTTGAATTTAATTTGAAATGAATAAAAGTTGCATAGTAAATTATTCAAAGGATATCTCATCAGCGGCTATACTCTTAAATTTAGAATAAAATATCCACTGTTTCTCTGATGGTTTTCTTATCTTTTTTTACAATTACAAAAGTATCTTTGGTTAATTCGTAGAAAATCTGTAAATTCGTGAATCGAGATGAGAAGAAGAGTTTGCTTGCATTTAGATGAAAAGTTATACCTCTTTCGAACACCGTTAAATTGAAAAAAATAAGTACAGGGCATGCAAGCCAGTTTGCATTACAGAGTGAATACCATACTGATTCATCTGAACATTATTTATCCAAGATTATAGATGGGAAAAGACGTAGATATTTCCATACTCAAGATATATGTGCCAAACATGTCAAATCGCACTTCATATTAAATGTTTCAAGGATTTTTATAATTAAACATTTTCTCGTTTTTATTATAAATTACAAAAAAAGAATAAAGATTTTATAATTATTATCTTTTTTAAACCTCTTAATGGTTAATGGCTCAGGTAAGCATCTGGTTATCTATTTCGGATTATTTTTTTTGGCAGATTTTTTTAGAATAGTTTGGGCATTAATCAATATAATTTGGAAAGATTGAGCATTTATCCACAAGAAAAATCTTGAACATCAAAGGGTGTTCTTTTGTTGAAGGAATACATCCATTATCTTAGTTGAACTTTGATACAATTTGATTATCTAAAGTTTAAAAAAAGTATCTTGTATCTTAGATAATTTTTTAAAATATCTTATTGAAATATTTGATAAGTATCTAGTTTCTTATATTCAAAATTTTTCTGGATACAATTTTCTGAAAATTTACCTAACCCTGAAGAATAAATAGTATTTGTTAAACGGCTCGATGCCAGTTTTAAAAACGACTAACTTAATATTTCACCTAGAAAAATATTTCCTAAACTTCGTCATTTCGATAATAGATGTCCAAATCTTTGTGCCATCTATGACAAAATTTTTTTAGACTTGCATAATATTTTTTGGAAAAAATATTGAGTTAGCCGTTTTAAAAAATCGGCTCAAATCGAGCCGTTTTAACACTACCGAAGAAATTATATAAAAAAATTCAGATTGCATAGGAATCTTTCTCATTAATATTCGCTTATAAAACCAAAAAAGTATAGATCCCATATTCAAACTTTTCCCTTTGCACAATTTTATTTAAATATCTTACTTAACTAGTTTGCATACTATTAATTTTCATCGAATTAATTATTTAAATTAGTATTACATTTCATATTGGACCAGATGTTATAAGATTTATAGCCTTTACATTATAGAGAAAAAAATATCCTACAATATTATATTAGCTTCTCTCTATTCTAGTATCGTATCTACTTCGACATAATGTTTTTATCTTATTTCTTAAATGCTAAAATAATTAAATTATTCTATATAAATTTTATCTCTACTGTATTTTAGAGCAATTTCCGAACGATTTCTTATTCCTTAAAAATCAATAAAAATTTCTTATTTTTAAATTGATAGATGGACAACTCTGCAACAATTCATCCATCCACCGGACTTCATTCAACTGTTGAAAATCTTTCCTTTTGGTCGGATCTACGTGTCGCGAACTCAAACTCTTTTCAGCATTCATTCATCGCCTCTGCGACCGTCGCTGCTCCTTATTGGCTTCTCCCGCCATGTTACGTGTCTCCTATTTTTAGGGATATTTTATCGGCTTCTGCTGCCATTTTTAATTATGGATACAGTCCCATGCACAACTTCAATACTTTACACTTCCCGTCATCACCCTTATTTAAGTAAAGATTTCCTAATTATTTCTATTTTTTTCGCTAGACGAAATTCTCTTAATATCTTGAGTATATCTATTATCTTGCATTAGTTGGCGCGAATTCGCACAAAATATGATATAAATATAATAATTTTACATTTATTTTTATATACTTCGTCGCGAATTCGCGGTAACTTTGCAGGGTGAGACCTCCAAAACGAATCAGAACCGTTCATGAAGAATTGTTATTTGTATACAAATCAAAAAATTTAATATTTTCTATTCGTTAGGCGGATAACAACGAATTAAAAATCGCTAAAATTGCCTTATCTATATCTAAAATTTTGATCATCTATCTTGAATGTCGAAATCTTGTCGACAGCGAGCAAATAATAAATATTAATTAGTGCGTAAAATAACGTCAAAAAAAGTAATGTCTTACTAACGACGTTACCTTTTTTTAAAAAAAGGAACAGCATTCGTTACATTTTTCTCTAGATAACCCGTTTCTTTTTTTGATTAACCGTATGGTAACGCCAACATTATTCTTTGAATTTTTTCTTTAAAAAAACCGAAGGTATGTTAATTTTTATTTTATTTTATAAAAATATTATGTCAATTGTTCATATTTATTAAGATTAAGATGATTTAAACTGCCCTGGACCCATGAAACAATTTTTTAAACCAATAAAGAAAATTAAGGGTACAAATATACACGTTGTAAGTATAAATTGTGTCCCAACTTAAATATCTCAATTTCAATTGTTGAATAAACATGGGCAGTCTTTAAGTAAGGGTTCTGTGCGAATGAAGCAGATTACCCCCCTGAAAAGTACCCCCTTGAAAAGTACCCCCCCTTTCGAAAAAATGATAATTATTTTATGACACCCATAAATTTCAAAAATAATTTTTATTGCATCAATTTTTAATATATAATATAAATAAAATGCAAAAAATATATACTTTATAAATATTATTTTTATATTAATAATTTAGATAAATTAGGGGAAGAGAAAGCGAAAGAATTTATAATTTCATCAATATTTAATTGTTTAAATAAATTTTTCTCTAATGATAATATGGTTAAATTATTGAGAAATGAATCTTTCATGGTACTACGAAGTCTTGTTTTAATTAATTTAATTTTACTCATGACTCTTTCGGCAGTACATGAGGTTGTAGGAATGGTTAATAAATATTTATATAAAATTCTTAAATTAGGGAAAGCAGAAAAATTTAAAAGTAGACGATAAGGAAAAATAATTGAATAGTTTTTCCAATCTGAATCGTAAGTCCCTGAATTTTCATCATCATCAGAAGAAGCTAAATAATGTATTGGTAAAAATATTTTAAATAAATAAATTTACAATTCTCAGAATCTGATAAATCTTTAGATTCTTGAACCTCTAGGTCATGAGTAATAATTACATTCCCCATTTTGGCCATCTTTTCTAAACTTCAACATTTCTTCGAAAATTTGATTGTAAAATTCACAGATATCCTCGATATCTTCTTTAATAATTGTATTTTCTGCCATTCCCTTTGGCGTAAAAAATGATGTTTGATGTAAAAATTTCATCGAATCAATTATTAAATCTTTCGTTAAACTGCATATGTTGTATTCATTAAAATTTAATAAAGCTAAATTAATATTTATTAAAAGTAGAAAGATAATAGGAATTTCTTGTTCTACTTTATCAAATCTCTGCTCTGTGTCTGCCTATAAAAAAATATAGCAGAGATAAAAAATAAGAGTAATTAAATGACCTCTGGTTCACTAATTTTATGATCATTATCAGAATCATCAGATATTATATTTTCTTCTAACACATTTTCTTTATTATTAGGACACTTTTAAAAGATAATTATATTAATTAAAAATATTTATTATACCAACAGCATTGAATTCCCAACGATTTAATACCCTTTATAATAAGATAAGTATAAATAATTAAATATTTAATAAAAAAATTACTTTGCTATTTGTTCAATTTTAAGTAACATTCTTAAAAGCTACTATTTCAAAGTTTTTCTTTATATCGTTAAAATTAAGCCCACCATGTCTTTTTCTAATGTGATCTATCCATTTATCATCTCTTATATTATGCGATTTGCAATTTGGAAAAATAATTTATGACAAGAAATCTCGGATAACAACCTAATTTACTAAACATCGACCAAAAAAATATTAAGTTGGAGGAGGGGGGGGGGTGTCTTATTATTACATTTATAAACCAGAAATCACATGATCATGATGGATGTAACAAAACAGTAAAAGAATTAAATAATAAAGAAAATTTAAAAAAAAAATTTAAAAATTTACTGAACTAGTTGCTTCGGACCCCCCCCCCCACCATTGTAGGGGCCACTGAGTAAGGGAGAAATGGGTATATGATTAAACCGGTATAACAAGATGGACTCTTTTTTATAAATCCTTGAAATGAATACTTAGTCTTTTAAGGAGATTGACCAAAATTTGACGAATCTTATAATAAATCCGTACATAGATTTATCCGTACATAGAGATAATGACAAGTTGTTCATAGATGAATATTGTATGGTTAGTGTTATTAAAAAAATATGATATGTATATATGATTTTATAGGTTATGGAACCTGTTGCTACGGCTCTCTCGATTTATAGCATTAGGGATATCATAATATTAAAACTTAAAACAATGGCTTTAAATAATTTGAATTTTGTAATGCAATCCTGCAAGACATAGATAAAAGATATATAGTTGAAATATTGTTTACAATTTATATTTTGATTATATTTGTTTTCAATGGATTCAAATACATAAAGATGAATATATACTATCAGCAATAATTCACCCACTATTTTTGGATTGGCCCTGGATAAAATTGGAGGTCAACCGAGGTAGAAAACTTGAATTTATTTCCAGTTTGGGATCTTCACAAAGAAAAGGCAAATTGATTCCTTAAAAAAACAACACACATGCCAGATTATTTTCTGATAAAGATAAAAATAATTCAATGAAGATCTGAATGACGATTCTTTTGAGCTTTTTTCAGGATAAAGTTTGTTCTTTCATTTTTGATAAATTCCCCCAATTAAAATTTTTACTTGTTAAATATAAAACAACCCTCCCATCCTCTGCGCTAGTTGAACGTGTGCTTAGCACGGTGAAAACTGTGTTGAGCACTAGCATTCTTGTTTATCTGATCAAAATTTTGAAAATTAATGGTTAAAGATACAAATTATTATAAAAATATCGTATCTTAAAAAATATATATTATTTTTGTATAAAATATTTTTTCAAGTAACATGTAGCGTGTTACTCTTTTGAATAGCCATTATCGCCTATTCCTTTATTCACCAGGTAACGAGTAACGGTAACAGGTTCCTTTTTCCAGACGAAGAATAACGCATTTCTTTTTCGAAGTAATATTTACAGCATTACTAAAAATAAAATAAATATAATTTTAAGCAAAATGTTTTTTAAACTATCTTTTTTGACCCATAAGTAATAGTCTATATTTTTCAATTATTTTATGTTTTCTTTCTTGTTTCTTAAAAAGTATTTCCTTATTATATCAAATAAACGATTCAGTGCAGTAGATTTAAAAGAAGTAAGGTAATTATCACACATTAATGGAAAAAAAATATGGCTGCCCAAATTATATATAATTTTTTTTAAATTGAGTTTAACACGAAAAATAATTCTAAATATACTATAGATTATAGAATCGAATATTTACGAATTAATAATATTGAATTATTTGGCTATTCATATCCTTGAATTTCGAATTGAATAAGAATAATTACTAAAAATGAAATGCAACTTTTGATATTCAGCTCAGCATCTTTTATCATTACTCCCATTTATTTGTAAATCATTTTTTGCAACACTAAAAAATTATTCTACCGTGACATTTGACGGAAGAGTGGTGTTATATTGTGTGAATAACAACTTTACTGTGATAATCTTTAATATTGAAGACCCGACACTCGTGTAAAAAAAATTATGCAAAATTTATATCAATATTTATATCCTCTAAGGTGGTGCTGAAAAAATTCTGATATTATTATTTGATTATTTTCCACACATGATCTGTTTACAATCAGTTGAAAACTTTAATAGATCAACTAGATTTGAAATTTACCATGTTGTTATCAATTGCGTAAAATAAAATTTTGCCTGGTTTGTTTTTGGAATGAAATAAAGAAATGTTAAACTGTTGGCTAAATATATTGCTAAGCTGTTCATGGCAACTGACTTGGATTAGGGTTAATCTAGTTATAAAATTAGACAATGAAAATACTTAATTTATTAGACAATAAACCTATTACATTCGATAAAATCTAAAAGAGACTTAGAGCTGTTGAGAAGCTAATTAGTTTCTTTTAATTTTTACCGAACTATGCAGTTCAGGCTAAGATACAAGCTCGTGGACCGCGTTAGAAGTGAGCTTAGATAATGCAAATAAGATAAGGGCCAGTATTTATAGTAGATGATGAGAATAATAATTTTATTACACCAAACCCACTACATTCTGTAAAACTAAAAAATTTGGGCTGCACAGCCAGTAAGTTTTTTTTAGTTTTTACCTAACTACGCAGTCAGGTTAAGACCTGATATCAAATTCATGAACCGCTTTAGTGATTAGTTTAGGACTATGCAATAAATATAAGGGTAATATTTATATTAGATAATGAGAAATATTAATTTTATTAGAGACTAAACCAAATATATTCGGTAAAATCTAACAGATACTTTAAGCTATGTAGAATATATGAATAACTTTTTTTAATTCCCCTTTCTAAGCGTCCGGGGTAATTATATCTGGGATTCAGGTAGTTCCTTTATTCAAAATAAGCCTCTTACCTTTCTTTTGTACTTGTGAGTTTTCAACAACGGCTTCAATAAAATAAAAGAATGAACTATGCCACCATTTTTTCTACTCTTTCTATTTATTTGGCACTTTATATTGATTAAAAAAATCAACATTACCCATATTATTATTATTATAATAGGTGTTCAATTAGGCCAGAACTTTCATTGCT